AATAAATCTTCTAAATGACACGATACGGTTTTATCGTTGTTTCGTAATTTACAGTGCATTGTCATATTGCATTGGCATGATGTCTTCATCGGATAAGTGTAAACGACGGCGCGATTTTTTTCAAGCAACAAAGCGATTTTAAAGCTTTTCGTTCGTTTTCAACGGTAGCAAACTGATTGAGGAATAAAATAAGTGTCAAAATGTGTCATTGAACCAACTGAGAGACTGGTGAATGAGGAAATGATTTAGTTAACAAGTAATAAGACATGAATAAAGCAACAATTAAATAGATCCAAGTATCATCCTTCTGTATGCATGCATTAATAGTGTGGATGGCAAGATCTTTCTTCGTGGCGACTGGGATTGGGATGGAAAAGGAAGAGGAAGGCGAAATCAGTTCGCTTGCTGGTCTTAATCAGTGCTGTTGCATAAGATCATTTATAAGATCGTAAGATCTAGACTCAATCAATCTTTTACGTATTGTGATTTTTTTCAGGTACTGCAATGGTTTCTCTACTAACTTGATGATTTATTCAGTAAAATACGCAAGTATGAGGAAACACGTTTAGCGAATACAAAAAATGAATGTTAATATTGATAGTGTAGCTGGCAAGATAGTGTAAATGGCAATGGTAAAGTAGAACAATAGAAATTGATGAGTGAGAAATAAATAAATAAAAATTAAACTTACAAGAACAACACAAGTAAATGAACTCACAAGTGTGGCCATATTGAATCGAAGCTGCTGCGCTAATTCAGCCTGCAGTATCTCGCGTTGTGCTAAATACTTTTCCCATAGAATCGCACTTTTCATTGATGCTTTCAGTTGTTTTTATCATATAGAATATTCACCGCATTTATTATAATGTATTATACAACAGATATCCGATTTCTTTTTTCGTTCGCTTTATATGGCCACCAATCGTTTTAATGCATTGAATTATGCAGCAGACACTGAAAATTCAATACAAATTCATCATAAATCTTACCAACGCAATTGTGTTGGTGTTTTACTGATAGTTTATAATATTCATTTATCATTAGATAACCTCACTATCACATTGACTATTTCATCAACTGTTTAAATCATGTGTTTGGGGATCGTTTTGCTGATAAGTGGTTATGAGAACAT